TTGAGTTGGATTTATATAAGATACACCTGTGCACAAACCCAGGTCAAGATAATTATTAAAAACATATGTATAAAATCCTATAAAAYATAAAAAAGTGGACATAAAAACATTTTTATCTGGACCTGGATTAAGTTCAATATTTCCAATGACTAAAATAATATTAAACAGAAGTCTTAAATGTTGCTTCCGACTGGTTAAAACAGAGTCTGTTATATCTGTGCCTTTAGCACTAATGTCTTTTGTCCACTGWTGAAAAACAGTAACATAGGCCGAAATTACTACCCGATCAGGTGAGGTTCTGAAGCCAGTCAGTAGCTTGCTGTTCTTTTCTTCGTTGAATGGTGCACACTTCAAGGCTTGAATAACATGGTTCCCACCATGTCGGTGGTGTTTTATTTATTTATTTATTTTTTCATATTATGTCAGTCTGCCCAGGTCTGTTATTATCTCGGTCAGCGGCACAGATGAACATCAGCTGTAAGTTCTCTTCGACCCCCTTTCCACCTCAGTGTCGGATAATACAGGCTTTCACTTTAACACTCGTGTCTCAGTCCCAGGCTGAATCTTCTTGTGAATTAAGCTAATATTATAAATATATTAGAAAATATTAAAAATTACTCTGCTAATACAATAGGAAAAAAAATCTTCTCAAAATATACTCATGTATAATACAAACTACCAACTATATGAATGATTTATGGAGTTAATTCTTTTTTGCATTACATATTAATGCAGTAAGTCCTGGTCTGGACTGTCTCGTGAAAGAGCCTAATGTGGCAATGACTATGTGGTAGTTGTCATAATAATTTTACTTTTACTGTAGCATCTATATAAATACCTGTTTCAATCTTTTCCTCTTGTCCTTAACAGGGAGTTCTTTGTCTGCTATCAGGCCTTCCAGCAGTTGCTGCAGGGGGGTTTGTGTACCAATTATCTTCTGCTCCTCACAATCGACTCTCCGGATCTGTTTACAAAAAGCCGGGGATGCACTGAAGTCTGTATCTGAACCAGCATATTTGATCTGATAAGAGACAGAAGACAGGTTCCATGAAAGTTCCTCAGTTTAAAAACCAAGTTTTTTCTTAAGACAACTTTTTCAGGTACTTGTAACATAAAAAATAACCCATTAAAACTTATGACTGGGAAATTGTGTTATGATATATAGAAAGTGTTTTACAAAATCAAAACAACATCCTCAGGAATAATTTACTTGAGCATTTAAGGCAGCTTTGAAAAACCTCCAACCTGGTCTTTAATGTTCTCACAAAAAATACTGACAATCTAAACTTTATTAACTAAAAAAGAAATGTTTAAAACTAATGTCATGTCAAATATTCTGAGCTGAATACAGTGATGGAGTTTTCAAATGAAAACAAAAGAAATTAAAATTTTATATGGGATGTTACAATGGTCTCTGAGAGGTGCAAATGCACAGCAAAAGCATGAATGCCCAAAGCACACAAACACATAAATACAAATGCAACATAAAATGCTGCAAAATAAAAAATAAATAAGAGCAAAAATATAAAACAAACTAATAAATGCAAGAGAGAAAAAATCTGCAAATACTAGAAACAATATAATTTTTTTAAACTGCTAATAGGAAATGCCACAAGCTCACTCCACAAAGTGAAATGGCACCAGGCCATTCAGGGGACTTGACCACCAAGTCATATTGGAACTAAGTCTCAGTAAAGACAACGGAATTTAGAAGAAAGACAAGTTATATTTTTCTTTCATAATGTCCAGGTTACAATTACAATTAACTGAAGAGACATGCTATTTTGTAAATTTGTCTCAAAAAGACTGCTTCCATTTCCAAGAGATGGTGCGAGTGTGTGCTGTTCGGCTGAGGCACACTTCCTCCCGGTCATCATCATTAGAACAAGCTGACTCAGCACACTTTCATAATCACAAAGTTCTAACTAATCACATAATATTTAGAGCATACCATGTAAGAACTAGTTCTGACTGGGAGCAATGATGGGGTCTAAGCAGTTTTACATCTCAGACTATAAACCAGGCCTGAGGCCTGTAGATTCTGACATGAAGCTCTGGAGTTTTGTGCAATTTCTATAAGTTTGTAAGGTTCAACCTCAACTTAATAGGACATTCGCCTTTTGAAAGACAACCGTCTTGAAAATTTCCCACCAGTAAAATATTTTTTTCCTCTTCAGGACGATGGATTTTGAATTACTTGGAAATGACCATATAACCCTTCCCATATTGAGAGGCAGCAAGAACTGCTCCTTCAATACCCTGCTAGATTTCTTTTCTCTTTGACGTTAACACATACCTGAATGCTCCTGCCTCTGGTTTTTGTAGAGGTAGTTACACTTTGTATAGACATACTGTATATATGCACGTTAATTCTGCTTCTCAACTTTATCTCCATCACTTAAATATTTGTGTACAGCAGTATGCAGTTTGTTATGTGACATTTTAGTTGAGGGGGCCTAATGATAAATTTATTATTTCCAAACATTGACAAGTTCCATTTTTAAATTTAGTTTTCCAAATTGCACTGATATATATCAGACAACAATAAGCACAGACATCATTTGCAAATCTTTTGCAGGCAAAATTATAGCACTATGTGCAATGCTATGTGATATTGCAAAAACTTGCAATATTGCATGAGATTGCACATAATGCTGTTTTGCAGGTTGGCCCAAACTGTTTCCAGCATCATTTTTTTAATCTAAAACTATCTTAGTCCTATATTCTGAAAGCTGGTGGGTGATATGCATTTCTTTCTCACATGAAAGGATTTAAAATACATTGAGCAGCACCACAGGGATGTAATACTTCCGAAAACAAGGGAATAACTCACACCTGCTGAACTTGACAGACGTATTTGAGGCAGCATATAATTTGATCTGCTTTGCAAATATGAACTGGAGCAGTTTCTGTTTGCAATTAAAAAGGTAAAGCTGGAACAGGTAACAATCTGTGTGTGTTTTAATCTGATGGCATTTGGTCTGTGTTTCAGTTTGCTTTAAATAAATACAAGTCCATCCCATTTAGTCCAATGTTCTTCAGTCAAAAGGCCTAAGATTAAAATTTGGAGAAGATCAAAGCCAATCTTTTTTTGGTTTTTAAGAGACTGTACCATCTACAAATTGATTGAAAAACTGTTTGGTTTTGCCATCACTTTTGTTTCGGTTGGAGAAATTTCTACTGCTTCAGTGCAACAACCAGTAGGTTCAAATGGGTTTAAAATAACAAATTCTTACAAAAACAACATTAAAACATTTTAATAAAAAAAAACATGTTAAGTCAAGGGTAAAATGTCCCCTCCAGGTCAGGGGGAGTCTCTGCCTCAAGTGGGGGAGTTTAGGTATCTGGATGTCTTGTTCATGAGTGATGGTAGGATGGAGCGGGAGATGGATCGAGGGATTGGGGTCTTATCCTCAGTAATGAGGCGTTGCTTCAATTGGTCGCAGTGAAGAAAGAACTCAGTCGAAAGGCAAAGCTCTTCATTTACTGGTCTGTCTACGTTCCAACCAGGTGTGGATCTTGACTGAAAGAACCAGATACCAGAAACAAGTGGCCGAAATGAGCTTCCTTCATAGGGTGGTCAGGCTCTGTCTCAGTGATAGAGTGAGGAGTTCCATCATTCAGGGTGAGCTCGGAGTAGAGTCGCTGCTCCTCCACATGGAAAGGAGTCGGTTGAGGTGGTTCGGACATCTGATGAGGATCCCTTGTGGACACCTCTCTTTAGAGGTGTTCGAGGCACGTCCCACTGGTAGGAAGCCCTGGGGAAGACCAAGAATTTGCTGGAGGATTTATGTGTCTTCTCTGGCCTGGGAACGCCTTGGGGTCCCCCAGGAAGAGCTGAAAAGTGTCACTGGTGAGAGGAATGTCTGAGTTTCTCTCCTGGACCAGTTGCCTCTGTGACCAGACCACAGATAAGCGGCTGGAGATGGAAATATTAAGATAAGATAATACAGTAGAGTATTCAAGCCCATGGTACAAGAAGACTAAAAAATTAAATCTTTTTACATGTCAATTTTAAACACAAACATCAATGCAATTATCCTGTCATTTCCTATTCAAGTTATCAAAAACTCAACACAAATTCACACCCACAAGAAAAAAAATCTATGGAGTGAAACAGATTTACACAATAGTCTTAGAAGCAACCCCTATAATTTATTAAAGTTGATAAAAAAATTATCAGAAAAGTACAACATTATGTAGTTGAAATATTACAAAACAAAAGAACCTCAATGTATTTTACTCAGAGCATTGTGCCCAAGACAGTGTTCCTCCACATTTGCACAAGCCTCTCAGAGGTATAATTCCACTATTCCCTACAGAAGCTGAACAACTTACAGCTGTTTCCTGCAATACTGTACATATAAAGCAGATGGAAAAGTCTTAGTAGTATGAGTTTCCTGCAAGCAAGAGACAGAATAAAGACCAAGAAACTCTCCATACAGATCAGAGCTAAAGTTTTGTGGGAGTACAGATTGGATTAGGTCCTGGGTCTTGAAGACCTACCTCATCTTAATGTCTCCTACCAAAACCATCAACGTTCTGGGTGATGAAGTAGAGGTTGTGGAGAGCTACAAATACTTGAGTGTGTTAACACTAAGCTGAACTGGCAGCTCAACTCTGGTGTTGTTTACAACTCATTTAGATGTTGCAGATTTTTCATCAGTCTATTAGATGGTGTTGTGCTCCAACATGCTAGATGTTTCTTCCTGTTAAAAAGGAGTTGTTCCTTTCCACTGTCACCAATGTGCTGCTCAGGATGGGAGATGGCGACAGTGAAAATAAGTGTTTTATAATCTATGCAAGTGTTTTTGAACAGTGCCCTCAAATGGCTTTTGCTGTGAATTGGCACTATATAAACAAACCGAATTCAATTTAATTTAGAAGCAGGTTAAAAAAAATGGATGAATTATTGACTTTATGATGGCAGGTGCCATCATCTACGCTTTTTCTTATTCATGGAAAACTCATCCCACCCTTTCCATGACACACTACAGAGAGAGAGACAGAGGAACTCTTTCTCCAACAAGTGTCAAAGTGTTGTTAGAACACTTCAGGAGCTCATTCAAACAATTTCCATCTCAGTATTTAACAGCTCATCTCTATGTAAAAAAATGAATGTTTTTCAATGTAATTTTATATTAGTTCAGACTGTTATGATGTGAAAATATAAGTCTTATTCTATGTTAGCTGCTGCAACAAAACTTTCCTAAGTTTAAATAAAATGTCTATTAATTAATCCACTTGTTAAACATTAAGAAGTAGCATTTCAAGGCAAGAATTAGTGTTGTAATACTCAAGATCAGTCTTAAGACCACTTTTTTGTGGTCTTGATCTTGTCTCGGACTCGACCGCATTCGTACTTGGTCTTGGCTTGGTCTCGGACATTAAGGATGGATTAAATGTCAAGACCAGTCAAGACTACAACTGTGGAAATATCACTTAATTGCCAGAATATTGTTCAATTTATTTGTTAATCTTTCACTGAAAGTAAAACATACAGATTCAAATCCAAATGTAACTCATTGACAATTATGTATTTTTGTAAATTTTGTCCTCCCCACCCTCTTTCACTTGCATGCAGCACTCCAAGAAAATAAGCAGTGTTTCTCTGGGAGCGGGAAAAGATGTCTGCAAAATCTTCAGTAATAGAATTTGTCTACATACTACATCATAAAGAAGATATCTGTAAAACAACATTCAGGAGAAAGAGTACAACAGCTTATAAATTCTGCAGTGCTTCGCTTTCAGAGACAGTGGAGATGTCAAGCTTTTATCATCACTTATGAATGAAAGACAAATAAAGGTAAGCTATGTGTAGGTGATATTAGCAAAGCTAGCTAGCTAACATTAGCAACATGCCACTAAACTGTAAGAAAAGGAGTGTTCTTTTACTGAAATCGTGTCTTAACCAGGCATAAACCACATGAACGTGACTTGATTAAAATGTGAAGAGAATAGACCATACAACCACTCCAGCGCTGGTTCAGAACGGTGATTTAATGCTTCAAGCCTGAGCATCAGCAGCGTTCAGGCTGAAATCATTTTATCATGCTTCAGCATCTGGCCCACCCACCACATACATACTGTACGGCTGAGACCAAAGATACTCAAACAGAATAAACTTTCCTTATGTTTAAATCAACGGTATCTATGTGTTGTCATGGTGCTCCAGGCATGTAACTAAAACTATTTTAATCAAGACATAACAATAATCACACAATATTTTATAGAAACTAGTAATTACCTAGGAAAACTATAAAATGGTGTTGTGCTTTTAGAATCAGTAAGTAAATGACCAAAAGATTTCTTCAGTCCCAAAATTCTTTACCCGTCCCTCACACAAAAAGATTTAATAGTGTAAGAAAACAAGAGTGTAAGAAAATATTGATACAATGAAATATCACAATATTTCATTTTCAGACAATGTATTGATTCTCTAAAGCCCTGTATTGATTTTTGATTAAGGTTTAAAATGTAGACTTTCATGCCAACGGTTCATTTTTGTGTTGTAGTGGACTGACCTGAGCTCTTTTAAGGTGTGACAGATGCTCCTCAACCTGGCAGCGCAGTTTGTTGTTCACTTGAAAGATGACGTTGTGGTGCTCCATCATGAATGTCACCAGTTTGGTAGCAAATAACTCGTCCAAGTCCATGTCATCAGCAGAACCCAGAACACAGGGAGAAAACATCTGTACCATCTGGACAGAGAACACAATGAGAGATGAATACAGAATTAACTTTAACAATGCAGATAAACTGCATTTATTATGAACAGTACAGTAAAAATGTGGAAAATGCATTACTCATTTTGTGAAGCAAATGACATTTTGTATACATGCTGTGTTTTAATTGAGATTGGTTTGATTCTGGTAGTATTACCGTGGTTGCATACCAAGATGAAATCTCGAAAGGGTCAGGTTTTCTAATTATCAGATTAGATTTCTTCCTTACGCTGTAAAATGGACACAAGTTCAGATATTTGTTGTTGTGTTCATTCTAAATTGCCTTCCCCATTAAATTTAAGAAATCTTGCAGTGTCTCATGATATTATAAAGCCTTTGGGCAACAGCCTTTTAACTGTAGACTAGAATCACATTGTTGCATTATTGAATGAGATTTGGAAATAGCCAAGTAATTGAACGCATATTATGTTCTAACGACCAAAGATGATTTTTTTATGCTTAAATATTAATATTCAGTTTGGATTGGGCCACAATTGCCCTAGAAGAGAAACCAAAATATAATTATGATGCAGAGGCACAAAATATAAGGGTTATTTTTCTGAAAGATTCTTTCTGATTTCATAGCTGCTTCATGGTAATTATCTCCCAAAGTTTTAGCTTACTTTAAATTTTGAAAGATTTTAGTTGAGTCTCCTGCTGAAGTGAGAGCTTCAGAAAGAGAGTTTTCTGGTGTGTCATAGTACTTTGTAGCAAAAGTCTGGAATTGTTACCGCAGAAAAGTTTGCAGTGACAGGGAAATTTACCTCTCTGTGAATACATTTTAATAATCTTTTACTTTATCTACAAGTTACCAAATGTGCTGAGATTGGCTAAAAACTAAGAAAAACGAATGACGGCACCAAAACAAAATAAAAAATAATAATTAGCACGAAACGTCTAACACAGAGAAACAAAGAGGTTGTCCACGGAAAAAGAAAACAAACAAACAAACAAACAAACAAACAAAACCTTAGAATTCTCATCAGTGTCGAATTCCTCAAGTATGTGCAGAACCTGTCACTGTTTTTTTAAAGGCAAACTTTTATATATACAAACAGCATATTCATATAATATAACAAAGAACTAAGCATCCTGTAGGACTTGCTCATATATCACATTCAAGTTGACAAACCACAAAAGCATGAATGAGCTGCTACTGTCAGTTGGCAGAAAAATAAACTGGGCAATTATAAAGTGATGCTCTGTCAAATAGCTATCAATAACCTTCTAAGTCATGACAAGAGCTGTGCAGTTAATTAAATTTATAGTTTCAATTTTGATATTTGCTCCTAACAATTGCTAAAACAAAACAAAAAGAAACCAATGATTCTTAAAATTATTTTGCTTTGCAAGAACACACTCTGCCTCCCAAATGCATCTGTTTGTTATTTCTTTTTATCTGCTGTTGTGTTTGACACAGTTGTGACATTTTCAAAAGCTTTGAGATTAGTTTGACTTGTGAGCTATTTCATACACTTGAACCCAGTAGAAACAAAATTGGTACCACTTTATGCTGTGAATAAACTGTAGGTACCAGTGTGCGAGTTGCAATAGTGTCATTAAGTGGAGGCAGCTGGGGATTCTGGCAGACGCGGGCCATGAGTCGCAGCAAAAGCTGGAGCCGTCTTCGGTTGGGCGGCGGCAGCAGGAGGCAGCTGACTTGAAGAGCCTCAGTGGCTACATCCTGCTCCTGCAACAGGCCTGTAATTACAAGAAAAGAATACAGCTCTCTGAGGGCAAGGGAAGACAACATGGTCATGAACAAATGTTTTCCTGTTACAGAGTCCAAATATTGTGGTGGGTCCCCAATGTGAAGCACTCACTGAGAATGTTGACAAAGACCTCATAAAGACGGAACGTCAGCAAGGGCTCTTTGAGTCTCTGGTAATAATCTGCTACTGTTCTCAGAATATCTCTTTCAAAACCTGGGTACAGGGGCTGTTTTATGTCATTGGCATTAGGCCCTGGGGAAAAGGTCAAAAAGAAAGACAAAACTGTATAAACATACAAACATACACTATATAGATAACTCACTTTATAAATAAATAATGTTGTATGTACCATCAAATTAAACATGCAAAATTACTGATTTATTAATCTTTCCCATTGCCTAGGCCTGAAGGCAATTTCACGTGCATGTTTTTCAATTGTGGGAGGAAACCAAAGTATCCAGAGAAAACCCACAGAACAATGAGAAGAACATGCAGACTCCACAGACCACTGGTCCTGACTATAAATGTACTTGTCATTTATAAAGATGAGTTAAACAGAACTTCAACTAAAACCAGAACATTTCACAAAATCTAAACCTTACTAAGTTAGAAGTTTTGCTTCTATCTATTAAACACTACAACAGTCCTAGTCCCTGAACCAGTCTTTGACAAAGCTTTGAGTCAGTATATTATGCATACTTACAGTTTGCAAGACATTTCATTGCTGACACCACCCAATAAGGCATGTCCTCTGTAGATGTAAAATAAATAGAAAATGTTAGTTTTTTTTCCCCAAGAGAGGAAAAAACTAAATGGGAAATTGTTAAGACATACCAGCTTTGTTCTCCAACACAACTATGCCTGCTTTATTAACACTGAAAATGTTGTGGACAATGTGCTTCCCATTCACATACACTGGGTCCAAAATCCCATCCAGTGTCTTTAAGCCCAAAACTCTCTGTAAACTAAAGACAACAATGTTAGCATCAATAAAAAAAACAAATATTCCAATATTCAAAGTGTTTTATGGGTCGAGTTAGACAAAAGCATACTGTGCAATGGTCATTGATTTCCAGATGTGGTCCACTTGTTTTGAAGTGATTTCTTTTCTGCGTATGAGCTTGCACTCATGCACATCTCCAATTGCAACGCTGTGTCGTTTATTCCACAGATCTGAAGTCTGAGAGGGACAAAAAAAAGAGTAAAATTTTACCAGTAAAATAAAAGTTAACAAAAGTGGGTAGATCCTTAATAAGTTGGTGACTCAAAGAAACAGTCTTGTAGTGTAAATATAAACGTTCTGAAATATTTTTATGCAATATCCTGTTTCTTACCTTTATAAAACATGTTTAGTGTTAATAAAATCCTATATGAACATTGTCAACTGTCTGGTTCTTGTAAAGGAAAATTTCACACTGAAAATATTGCCTGCACCATTTCTCCTTATTGGCATTTAGCGTCACACAAAATATTAAAGTTGTTGAAGCAGCAGAACTTAAAGGGATAGTGCAAATCTTTTAAAGTGGTAAAAACAATAGAATAAAAACAGAAAATAGAGAATAATACTGACTGGATAAACAACCTAATATTATGGTTAGTCTGATCACAGTCAAGACCTAACAGGATCAATGTTGCCTTAAAAAAACTCTAAGGCAAATTACATCAGTTAGGCAAATTCTATTTCTTAAAACGTTTACACCACTTACAGTTTTGAACTAAATAGTTATTCTGGTAGAAGTATTTTAATATCGACACCTTCCTAAAATAATGGCCTAAATCTTTTTTTCCCCAAGTTAGTCAGGAATCACATAACATTTTATATGGTACATTTTAAGTTTTTTGTTTCCTGAAAAGTTTCTAAAAGTAAGAAAAAAAAAAACAATGCTTAGGCCATTATTTTAGGAAGGTGTTTATATGTTTGTTAGACAAGCCCTAAGCTGCACTTGAAATGCTACAGCTCTCTGCTGCTGCCTAAGTTTACTCCAGCAAACATCTAGAAAATTCTATGTAAATAAGTGTTTACATGGTTTTTTTTTTTAGATTAGAGTTTATTTTAAGCAGGAGCAATCTAATTTAATCCCCACTCAGACTATCCATTAGCTTGTTAGTCTGACACAAAATATCATTTATTTCTCCAAGAGCTAGCAACAACAGGCAACAATAGTTTAAAATGTCCTGATGCATCTCAGTAATCCAGGTAAAAAATCAAAAGGAAAAAAAATTGTATAGGTCCTCTGGACGGGTTCTTCTTTAATGAAACGTTTCGTCTCTCTTCCAAGAGACTTCTTCAGTCTGAGAGTTTCAGGCAAAATTCAGGCTTTTGAGT